TTACAGTTCGGCAAATTCAGTCTCCATTATATAGGGTATGCTGATTACTTCATTGTTTTCCAATGTGTGCACTCTTCCGGTTTCCGGCGGGTCGTGTGCGTCGACCGGAAGTGATGCAACGCAGCTCGCAGGGATTGATGGGTCTTGTAGTATCCATGCTGGTGTTGACGCCGGAAGTTGCGGACATTGCCCGGAAATGACGTCACGCAACTCCCGGTGGTTACTGGGAACCGTAGTTTAAAAATACTTCATCATATCGCGCGATCTTTTTAGCTTAAAAAATATTTAAGTTCAAACATATATAAAATATATAACATAGTACACAGAACTTTGTAACATATACTCTTATAAGCATATAAGAGAAATTATTAGTACATACACATAATTTATACAGAGCTCCAATCAAAGCCATAAACTTATAATAAGATAAAAAGAGGAGCAAGGAAGAGGGGGAGAGAGAGAGAGAGGGGGGAGAGAGAGAGGGGGAGAGAGAGAGGGAGATAGAGAGGGGGGAGAGAGAGAAGGAGAGGAGAGAGAGAGGGAGAGAGAGAGAGGGAATATATATATAGCGATGGGAATGCTATTAAGCCAACTTTTATAATGGCAGCTATCCATTTTAATGAAATTATTCACATGTACTTCTTTAAAATGTGTTTGTGTGAATTTTTTTTTCTTTAATATAAATATCCAGATCTAAAAAAGTAACATTAGTATGGCTAAAATCTGCTTTTAAAATAATGCCATCTTCATTTTTATTTAAAAATTCTATAAAATGGTTAGCAGTAAAAAGGGGGCCTTTCCAAAGCAGTAAAAGATCATCTATGTATCGATAATAGGCGACCAGGTTCTCCACACAGCCATGTCCATTCCACACCATTCTCTCCTCCCATTCCGTCATGAAGAGGTTGGCATAGCTGGGTGCGAACCTGGTCCCCATTGTCATTCCATTCTTCTGTAAATAAAAACGGCAGTTGGCTTAATAGCATTCCCAAAAGCCAACTACTTAGATTAAAAAGGAATTGCTCTGAAAGCAGCATCTTTAAGAGTCAGGCTAACGAGATGAAAGAGAAATTTATTGAGAAAGGTTACAATGGGAATACAATAGAAGAAGTAGCAAAGATAGATAGAAAGAACTTAATAAACAAGACAGACTTGAATAAAAAGAAAGATGAAAAGGAATTTACATTACCCTTAGTTTTGGATTACAATAATAAGAATAAACAATTGCAGAAAATAATCAGAAATAATTGGCACTTGTTAAAAGAAGATACAATCTTAGGGAAAATTATCCTGGATCGACCAAAAATAGTATTTAGAGGTGCCCCGAATCTAAAGATTCAACTTACAAAAAATTATACAAAACAAAACTCAAAAGCTGTAGATAACTTCTTAAATAATAAAAAGGGATTTTTTAGATGCAACTGTTGTGTAGCCTGTAGGAAAACTCAAAAGATGAATAGGCATATATTAAAATTTAAATCACATAATACTAATAAAGAATATGAGATCAAAGATACTATCACATGTATGAGCAAAAATGTAATTTATATGTTAGAATGTCCATGTGGACTACAATATATAGGAAGAACCATAAGACCCCTAAAAATTAGAATTGGAGAACATTGTAGAAACATTGAGGGGTTTAAAGAATCAAATTATCTCAACATTGGAGAGGGGGTGATATGATTAAAAAAAACTAGGCAAAAAAGAAATGGAGTGGATATATTTTTTAGACACTCTGCACCCTAATGGCCTAAATGCCGAATTTGATCTTTTTATAAACATGATTTGCTCATATATATATATACATACATACATACACACACATATATATACACATACATACACACACACACACACACACACACACATATATATATATACATACACACACACTTTCTCTATGCCTTTTATATATATTTTTTAGATTTTCTGCTATTTTATTCAGCCATCATTTTTATGGAATATTCTTATATAATATTAGTCTATATAAATAGATTTCCTTTATATAATTTCTTTTTTTAACACCTCCTCTCCTATGTTCATTGATACACCATTTTATACACTGTTGGGTTGTATGAATTAACCCCATAAATATCTGCTTGCTCCTCTTTTTATCTTATTATACGTTTATGGCTTAGATTGGAGCTCTGTATAAATTATGTGTATGTACTAATAATTTCTCTTATATGCTTATAAGAGTATATGTTACAAAGTTCTGTGTACTATGTTATATATTTTATATATGTTTGAACTTAAATATTTTTTAAGCTAAAAAGATCGCGCGATATGATGAAGTATTTTTAAACTACGGTTCCCAGTAACCACCGGGAGTTGCGTGACGTCATTTCCGGGCAATGTCCGCAACTTCCGGCGTCAACACCAGCATGGATACTACAAGACCCATCAATCCCTGCGAGCTGCGTTGCATCACTTCCGGTCGACGCACACGACCCGCCGGAAACCGGAAGAGTGCACACATTGGAAAACAATGAAGTAATCAGCATACCCTATATAATGGAGACTGAATTTGCCGAACTGTAAACTTCTGAGGAAGCCCTGTTTGGGGCGAAACGCGTAAAGTGGAGCCAGAGACTTGATATTCATCACCATATTTATTTATATTCTTTATATTGTATTTTTTACTTTATATAATAAAATTATAGTTTTAACTTTTACTCTGCTCCCTCATACATCTTCTGTTCCTGGTGCACCTTGGATCCTTCTCATATCCTCAGGTGGGGATTATACCACCTCAAGCTTTCATCACCAGAGCAAGTTTATTGCTCTGGATATTGTAAGTAAGATACTTACCTTCTTTGCCATTTATTATCTATTAGATATATTGCACTATTGGATTTTATTTGTGTTTTTATTTTATGCACAATCGTGGAGACCTAGAAGTTACGCCTCATCACTACTTCTATATCCTAAAACGGGGATTATACCGTCCAGGCGCTATACAGTAGAGCTCTCAGTAGCTCTGGAAAGTGTGAGTTAGTCCTTCTACTAGTTTCCTGAATATCTCACAAAATTTTATTTGATATACTGCACTATTATTGTCCATATTTTATTTGTCTTTTAAAAGGTTGATGTCAACCAGTATACTGTTGGACTATTCTGTATGTATATACATATATTTATATATTCTCTACGGTCACCTTATTCTTTATTCCGTTGGCGCGGTATTCCACTCCTGTTCTTTCACCTTCAAGAATTCATCCTGCCTAACATTATACTCCATTAACCAGTAAGATTCCACATACCCAACCAGGCACCAAATAATACTGTAATCGACTAAATCTAGAGGCTGCAAAGGGTTTCTGTTCTTTTGGAGGAGTGCTGTAATACATTGGAAAATAAATAATGAGAATAACATGCAGTCCAATTCTTGCGACGGTTTAACTAATGAACTGCACAAGCTCTACTTTCTCTATATTTGGGTTTTGCCCATAACACCACGTAGCCCGATTTCTTGTCTTGTATCTGGATTGTATTGGAATGTCACAAAAAGTCTAATGCAGTAAATTAATTACTCATAAAATTAAGTGATAGCGCTGTTTCCCCTTAAAGGAACACTATAAGGTCAGGAATACAAACGTTTATTTCTGACCCTATAGTGTTAAAAACACTATTTAGGTTACCGGACCCTCCTTAACCCTTTATTCCAGTCCTGCGCCAGGTCTGCAAGCGCTGGCTCTGCCAGAATTGACAATCTCAGCCAATCCAATGCTGTAATGTAAACACTGCCTTTTCTATGAAAAGGCAGTGTTCACGTGAAAATGCCTGCAGGGACAGAATGTACTCACCAGAACAACTACATAAAGCTGTACTTGTTCTAATGACTAAAAGCATCCCTTTATGTATTTAGGATATATTGTGTTTCCTGGCTGCTAAAAGAATGTGACTAATTAGAAGTTACGTCTAAATTATAAAATTTATTTCACTACAACACAAACATAAACTATCTCTCCGAGGAAGATTTGTCACAAGAGATTCTTAAATTGACGGTCAAAAATGTTTGTGCATTTGCACTCGGTGGCTAATTATATCCCTATCAATGCTCAATTTAGCTGACTATTATCATTTGAATATATTACATATATTTTCTGTTTCTTTAATTTTTTTTATGTGCAATATTTGCTCCTTTTATTAACAACTGTTAAGTGGGCTGACATTCTAGTCAGGCCACAACTTCAGATTACTTCATACTTCTTTCAATTTATTTATATTGTGTTCTGTCAGTTTAAATCTTGAGCACTGACATTTTCGCCGCGGCTCCCGGCATCTTGCCGGTCCGTACAGCCGCTCAGTTCTTTGTACATAATTTGTGTTGCCCTGGCGTCTCCATAGAGACGCGTCCCGCCTTTCCTCCTATGCCGCGGCCATTTCTCTTACCTTTTCCCGGGCTTTTGACTCAGCGACATCTTGTGGAAGGTTTCTGTGCGGTGGTTTCGTTTCGGCTCTTCACTGCAAATGCGACCCAGCTGTTCGGCAAGTATACTTTTTCTTCTTAAAGCCCCAGTCCGTTAGTTTACTTAAAAAGGTATACACTCCCATACTCAAAAATATCAGTTTTTCTGTTTACAGATTCCCAATTACACAACAAAGTGTTTCAAAAAACCCTTGCTTGATTCTGAGGGTGACCCCCTCTAGCCTCTTTTCTAAGGGTGAACACCTTTTTGCCTCTATACAGGGTAACCCCCTATATAATTACACAGGTACATTCTTATTATTGATTTTGGACATTATATTGTCCTTTTCTCTCTGGGTGAACCCCACTGATAAGCTGTGGATGAACCCCACTTATATACAGGATAATGGTTTCCTGCATTTTACATACTGTCTAAGTCCACCGCCTCATTGTAAATAGTTGATCTGCATATAATAGAAAAAAAAAAAAATTATAATATATATATATATATATATATATATATATATATATATATATATAAAAATGAATTAAATACTATAGTGGTGACTCCACTGTTACTGACATTATGTCTGATTTGCCAGAACCAGCAGTCTCTGCTGAACTTAAGGCTTGGTTATACAATGTTAATACCGAATCCATACCCAAAGCTCTAGCGGCTTTTCCGCGAGCAGACAGTCCAAGCCCCTACGGCGACAATTACCCAGCTGTCAGACTCCGAGGATTCTCACGGTTCAGAACCGTGGAGGGCGATAGCGATACCGCCGTTAAAGGCAAAACGCCTGCCAAACACCGTAGAGTTTCCTATTCTAAATCCAGGGAGGTTGTCTCCCAACATGATTTTGACCCAATTGAGGGTTCAACCTCTAATTATAATCTTCAGGTGGTAGATGAATACTATGCAGAACATTCGGATAATTATGCTCCACCTCATAAGACATCCTGAGACCTTTACCCCTCTGATTTTGCAAATAATGAGTCCTCCCTCATACCTCAAGAGGAATTCCATTTGGAATCTGACCCAACATCTGAAAACCCTAACTTAAAAGATGATACCTTGACACCTCTGGCCGCCCTTTATTTGACCCCAGATGCATCAGGCACCCTAGATCTGCCGAATGGACACCCCCGGACCACACTGCCAAATACTGCAGAATGTGGCTCCTTCGGCCTTTAGAAAAAGAGGTGAGAAACAAATTGAGGGCAGAATGCCCACGTCCCATTATCCCAGACAAGTCCAGTACACCTGAATTTGACCCCTTCCTTGTTACCTATCTGACCAAGTCAGGGAAAGACCCCCGTAAGGGTCTAGAACAGGGTCTGAAAGCCACTCAAGATAAGTTGATTGATGTGGCAGGCCCGCTTATACAAATTTTCATTATAGCAGACAAGGTTTTATCAGGTGGCACGTTTGACGCACATATGGTGCGAGAGTGGGCACAAAGGGCTTTATGCCTTTTAGGCAATGTCAATGTGGCGATCGACAGAACGCCGTCCTTTATAAAAAAAGGCTCAAGGCATGTTATTCGGAGACAAGTTCATAAAAGAACTAAGTAACGGCACACTCACGAAAGATTAACACACTTCCAAATGAACCCAATAGGGCACAAAGACGCTCCAGAACTGGCAACCAACCCTAGGACAGAGCACAACTCGCACACAACCGAACCGCAGACATCCCAGAGACCCCACATCCCACCGGACACATATATTATAACCGCAGCTAAACAATCAACAGAGAAAGCCCTCCCCCCCGCCGGGCATCCTGACGGCTCGACCCCAGAAACCTCGACATATGTGCATGACTAATAGGCAACAAATCGCCCAAACCGTGACCGACATTGACACTAATTGACCGACAAACCATACCAAAAACAAAATACAACCATACAAAGCAAATAGGCGAAGGTGCAGTTGACATAGTATCGACCTCACAACACAGACAAGTACACCAATACAGGGCAGAGCACTAGGCTCACATGTACATGCCCACACCACTCGAACACCAAAACCGGTCCGCAGCACCAGACAGACGGCACCATACAGAACACACCTAGATAGGCCTGGTCAACAGTGAGACCCACACGACCTCTTTATCTACACAAAAAGTTTACATGTTTCCATGTTATCGGTTTGCTATCCAGGGTACATAGAGACCTGCGTGTCTCACCCACATCCTATATTGTTATTTCCGAGATCTGCGCATCTCATGTGACCAATTGTTATAACCTACGTATTGTTGATTATCTCCTTAATTTAAGTGTTGTAAAACATTCGAAAACTCTCCAATTTTCAATAAAAAGAGATTTACAAAAAAAAAACTAAGTAAACACGTCTCTGTATTTACTACACTGACAAAAGCACAATCCTCCATTCGCAAGGTGTTTCACACACACACACACACACACAACGTTTTTTCCGGGATAGCAGGTCACTACAGAGGCTGAGCGACTGGCAGAGCCGCCTTCACGGGCTACAGGCCTCGACCTTCAGACACCTGGAACTCTGGCAATACCTGATTCCACCACAGGCAATTTTCCCCTCTTGCGCAGCTATCCGAGGACGTGGATCCGCTTCCCTCCGCGGTCGCACTGGACCTTCCTTATTCTCATATTCCTATTGCAGGCCGGTTAACCCTTTCTCCCCCCACCCCCCAGTGGTCTCAACTCACTCGGGATCCTTGGATCCTTCAGACTGTGTCCGGGTTCCACCTGGACTTTTCAGACGAAAAGATTTAAAAAATCTCCTATCCAGATCAAGAGGTCATTGTTAGACGAGTCGACTCTACAGAGCGAACTCAACAATCTATTCACCAAGGGTGCGATCGAAAGTTGTTGGCCCACAGGTCTTCATAAGCAACATGTTTCTAGTCAAAAAAAAAAAAAAAAAAGCAGGAGACCTACAACCTGTTATCAATCAGAGATCTGAACAGGTTCATCACATACCGTCACTTCAAAATGGAGGAAATCCATTTATTGAGAGACCTACTCTGCGAGGGAGATTGGTTCTCCCACTTCGATCTAAAGGATGCATACCTCACGGTGCCGGTAACACCAGCCCACCGCTGCCTCCTTCAGTTTCTTTGGGAACAGGAACTATGGCAATTCACCTGCCTCCCCTTCGGCCTATCTTTCGCACCCTGGTGCTTTACCAAACTAATGAAACCAGTAATGGCATTACTGCGTTCCCAGGGAATCCGGTCCATCATTTATCTGGACGATATCCTCCTCATGGCGCAGGACCAAGAGACTCTTCACCTTCATACAGCCATGACCTCTGCTTTGTTGCAGAACCTTGGCTTCGTGATCAATCGCCAGAATTCATCTCCACACCGTCCCAGACGGTACAATTTCTGGGATTCCAGATAGATTCTGTTCAGGCAGTACTTCAACTTCCAGCAACCAAAATCAAATCCATAAAAAAGGACATTCGGAGGTTACGGATATCACCATACCTCTGCCTGCGAGATCTAGCTCGCATCATCGGCTTGCTCTCCGCCTCAATACAGGCTATATTCCCTGCCCCATTGCACTACCGAGCATTGCAACGCCTGAAGACGCAATATTTACATCAGTTGACATACTACGACCAACAGATCACACTCACAGACGAAGTCCGGCTAGAACTCCATTGGCGGCTACACCATATGGACACTTGGAATGGAAGAGCCCAACCAGATTTTATTCTGGAATCGGATGCAAGCCTGCTCGGATGGGGCGCAACTTGCTCGGAAAATTCTACAGGAGGACTCTGGTCCCATTCGGAACGAGCACTTCATATCAATTGCCTCAAATTAATTGCAGGCTCCTTTGCAATCCGCAGTTTCACCAAGGATGTCTACAATTGTTCCATGGTGCTGAAGATGGACAATGTGTCAGCAGTTCGCTACGTGAATCATTTAGGAGGTTTCAAATCGAAGATGCTTTCGGACCTGACCAAGGAATTGTATCAGTTCTGCCTAGATAGGAATCTCTCCCTGCGAGCAGAATATCTACCGGGATCAGACAACCTCGTTGCAGACTGGTTCTCCAGACATTGGAGGGATTCCAGCAATTGGCAACTGAATCCACAAATATTTCACAGTCTCCAGATCTGGCGGGGACCATTCAACCTGGACCTCTTTGCATCTCGCCTCCATTCGCCGTGATTCCACGCACACTACAGCACCTCAAAACTCAAGGTGTCAAGATAACACTGGTGACCCCGCTATGGCGGGCCCAACCATGGTACCCTTACCTCCTGGAACAGTCAGTGGACTTTCCCCTGCTTCTACCCACCTCCTGCAACCTCCTCAGGGACCTGGCAGGCAACTTTCACCCGTTGGCAATCCAGGATCATCTCCGACTAGTGGCTTGGACCGTTTCAGGGGATCTTGGAATGTCTCAGGCCTTTTGACAACTGCTCAGGGACTCCTTTGGGATTCATGGGCCCCAGGAACCAGACGCTCTTACATCTCTACATGGCGTCTCTGGAGTTGCTGGTGTTTTGAAAGGAACTTTGATCCCTTTTCAACATCTATAATATTATCAATTTCCTTTCATCTCTGTTCGACCAGGTTAAAGCCTACCGGACTATTAACGTGTTTCGATCTGCTATTTCTGCAGCACACGTTCCTATTGAAAGTTCTTCAGTAGGCAAACACCCTTCTGTGTGAGACACTTACGGTGCCATCCGCATCGCTAGACCTCCGGCTCCCAAATATAATTAATTCTGGGACGTGGCCACCATGCTCACGTTCTTAGAAGCTTGGCTAGACAACGAGGCGCTCTCCCTATGCGTATTGTCAGCCAAATTAGCTCTCCTCCTTTGCTTGGTCTCCTTCCGTAGAGTCTCTGACATCAGGGCTTTCGACTTTCATGCCCTTCACACCGGAAGGGGTGCACTTTCACATCACTAGACGCACCAAGACCAATTCATCTACAGTGAGCTAGCCCTATTTTTCAGAGAAACCCCTTCTCTGCGTAGCCAGTTGCATAAGACACTATATCTCTCGCACTACCACTCTTAGGGCACCTACTGGGCCCCTCCTGGTGTCTTATGTGTGACCACACAAACCAGTCTCGTGTCCTACCATTGCTCGGTGGATTAAATGGCTACTAGCCCTGCTGGCATTGATGCGTCTTTCGGGGCTCACTCGGTTAGAGTCGCCTTCTCTGTATTCATAGCTGGAGGTTCCCTGGCGGAGATTTTATCCTCGCTGATTGGTCTAGAGAATCCACTTTCCGTACCTTTTATTTTAGACATTCTCCCTACACGTTTCTTTGTCCATGCTATCTACGCGTTAAAATAGCAAATATGAACCCTCCTGTCTTGCCATAAAATTCGGGATTATTCTAACTTTTAGTGACCGAATAATCTAAATTTTATTAAAGACAGGAGGCAAATATTTCCCCACCCTGGAATATCTTTACTCACCCTAATAGGTAAGTATCTCTTAGTACCTCCATATCTAAATAGGTGGCTAGCATTCTCTCAACTTTTTTCTAGCCTTTACTCGTCAGTTCATTATTAAATGTTAAAGGACCACTCTAGGCACCCAGACCACTTCAGCTTAATGAAGTGGTCTGGGTGCCTGATCCCTCTAGGATTAACCCTTTTTTTAATAAACATAGCAGTTTCAGATAAACTGCTATGTTTATACTGAGGGTTAATCCAGCCTCCAGAGCCTCTAGTGGCTGTCTCATTGACAGCCGCTAGAGGCGCTTGCGTGCTTCTCACTGTGAAAATCACAGTGAGAGCACGCAAGCGTCCATAGGAAAGCATTGTAAATGATGACGTCGCGAGCAAGGAGGAGAGGAGGAGTACAGCTCCCCGCCCGGCGCTGGAGAAAGGTAAGTGTTTAATCCCTTCCTCTCTCCAGAGCCCGGCGGGAGGGGGTCCCTGAGGGTGGGGGCACCCTCAGGGCACTATAGTGCCAGGAAAACGAGTATGTTTTCCTGGCACTAT